TTTTTTTTTGAGAGATTTTCACTGTAGGGCGCGTGCGCTCGCCAGACAGACAGAGAGAGACATAGAGACAGAAAGCGAGAAATCACCCCCCAGGGGGGATGGTCACGCCGCAATCCCTTCTCCTCCATTCTCCTCTCGGGATCTTGGGCACAGCACGCACACGCGCCCGGCGTGAGTTTTAAGCCACCTGGTCCGGGACACGAACTGCGGTCGACTACGTGGGAGTCCAGCGACATAGCCATTACACTAACTGCTGGTTCCCTCGAGTGGCCACTTTGAATGGAAGGTCAAGGGCAGTCCTTCTAAGAAGGGGGCATTTAACCTGACACTGAAGAAAGAGGCAGGAACTGCCCTCAGAGCATTTCTGGGAGCAGGAACAGCAAGTGCAAAAGCCCTGAAGGAGGGAAAGGCCTGGTCAAGTCAAGAAGCAGAAAGAAAGCCTCTGGCTAGGATGTCGGTCCCAGGGCTACTGTGCAAACTGCCACTAACCTGGTGCCTTAGGACAACAGGAATTTGTTCTCTTGGGGTTCAGGAAGCCAGCAGTCCAGATCAAGGTGTTGACAGGGCCGTGTTCCCTCTGAAAGGCTCTGGGGGAAATCCTTTACCTTTTTCCAGCTCTGGTGGTTCCAGGCCCATTGTGGCCAGAGCACTGCAGCCTCTGGCTCTGTCTTCTACAGCGCTCTCGGCTGTGTGTTCAAGTCTCCTTTTCTGTCTCTGCCGCTTACATTCTGTCACTTGTTCTTGGGTTTAGGGCCTACCCAGTAATGCAGAATGATCTTAATCACAGCTGCAAAGACCTTTTTCAACTAAAGTCACAGTCAAGTGTTCCAGGGATTGGATATGGGCATGTCTTCCGGCGGCCACCATTCAATCCACTGTAGCATGGTTAGACGGACTAGCTGGTTCCTATTTATCAAAGACTTTCTTGGTTTTGACTCTGAAGTTCTACCCCCAGGGACCCCCTCTGTCCTGGGAAGGCTAGTCACCGTTCTAACACACGTCTGCAGAGTGTGAGCCGGTTGGGGTTCCAGAAGAACCTCCTAGAATATTGCAATTCATTCAAACAAGCCTTAGTGGACAGAGGCAGAAAGACTCCTTTCTGCAATTCACACCCTGGAATAAACCAAAATAGCAGTTTGGTTAGATTCTCTTGAAAATTCTGATTGGGTTCACATTTAGTCATTTAACAAAGTATATATGCCTAATTCTAGTTTAAAGTGTTTCTTTCAGATTCTTTTCTTCTCTTGTTTTCCTATTCTGTCCCTCACCTCTTTTCCTTTCTTTCACCATCTTTCCCTCTTTCCAATTCTCTATATTCCTCCAGGGCCACCTTGCTCAGTAAATAAATTAACAGTGTGTGAGCTCTCTCGGGAGAGGCCAGGGTGTCCTTGCAGACCAGGTGATCTGGGGGGTGCCCGCCCTTGATTTCATGCCTGCTTCTCCCCCAAAAGCTTGGGATTGGGTTTTCATGCACCCGGAGAAGCTCACATATTCCCATCCATCTGGGTTGTCACCGGCCTTCACAAGAGCGATGAGGTTATGGATGTACACATTCTTTGAGTGTTTTGCTGGGAAGGCAGGAAATAAATCTTTCCTGTTTTCCTTCTCTGCTCGCTGTGTGAGCCTCTGGGATCAGGCCGAGAATGAGGAGTGGAGTGGACTCCTGCGGCTACCTGAGCAGGCTGGAAGGTCCCCCTGCCTCGCTCCAGCATCAAGTCAGAGGCTGTCGGGGAGAAAGGAGGAGGGCGGTGATGCCGACCAGCTCCCCCAGGGATGCGTGTTCACGTGTCCTGCCTGGATTCATTGGCTCAGCTACTCTGTGGTCAGCCTAGTTTTTGTTTTCAAATAAACAAACTGAGGCTCAGAGAGGACAAATCACACAAGGTCACGTGGCTGGCAGAGGGCAGGAGCAAGATCTGCACCTAAGAGCCCTCTTCCATCCATTCGCCCATTCAAAGCTTGTTGAGTTCCCGGGAGGGGCAGACCCTGGAGACACAGCATTCATATGATCACCTAAGCCCCCGCTGAGGGGGCCGTGCTGAGGAAGACAGGATCCATGCTCCTCCAGGAGGTGAACAGGGCCATGGGGAAAACTAAAATGGCATAGGGCAGCCTGGGGAGAGGTGGCGTTTTTAATAGGTTGTCAGGGAACTGACCCTCAAGCACAGATCTGAAGGCTGGGAAGAAGGGAGCCAAGTTTCTGCACGAGGACAGAACTCCAGGCTGGGGTCACAGCGAGTACAAACCGCCACGGAATCCAGGGCTCCTTCATCCAGGGCAGTAGTGAGTACGTGGGGTGGTAGGAGCAGTCTGCTCAGGTGTAGGCAGCAGCGGTGTGCATTAGCTGTAGAAAGTTTAAAACCAATAATAACACACTCTTCCCCACCAGGGTGGACGCCCCCATCCCCACCCCTTGGGACAGACACTCTTGCCCAGGTTAGACCAGAACTCGCCAGAGCTGAGCCAGTGTTTGTCCATTTCCATGCAGTCCCCAGGAGGTAGCATCTCAGTCCAGAACCCAGCTTTTGTTACAGAAATAAGCAAATAATGATAGGAGAAAGCCCAGTGTCTCCAGAGGGCAGCCCGTGTGTGGCCACATGCAAGCAGAGAGCTGGAACACGGCACAGTGGGAAGGCTAATGTGGTGCTCTGTGAGTCCGACCCACATGGGAAGGTTCGGGTGCCCATCCGGAGACCTCCCCGAACACACTGGGTGTGCAAGTACCATGGTTCTGAGCTGGCTGAAGCGGGACTGCGTCAAGGAGACTCCGGGGGTGCCATCTCTCAGTTTCTCTCACTCATGAAAGGAAGAAAGAAAGAAACTGAAAAAAAGATAAAGAGCTTGAGGGGCAGGACAACCTGACAATAAGATGCTGAGCTCACTGGCCAGGCCAGGGCAGAGCCACGTGGTGTGCAGACTGGGACCAGGGTCCTAAGCAGGCCGTCACTGTGCCATGGGTCTCTCCTGACCAACTTTCTGAAGGACGGAGACATTACTGCTTTCCCGTCCCCTGTACTACAGTCACGGGAGGCCTCTGAGCGAGGAAGCCCTAGCCCTGGTGTCTGTCCTGGGGAGAACCACGACCCCTCCCTCCCACTGCCCCCCTAACGTTCCAGTAAGAGCAGTCCCACCCCTGGCAGTCAGGAGAAAGGAGAAACGCAGAGGCCTCACTGCCCACGGGCCACACCCCAGTCCTGGCTCCACCCATGACATTACGTATGACACCGACCAGAGAGTGTCCCCAAACAGGACATTCATCTGTCGTTCATCTCTTATGGCAGCGTGGGAGGTAGGTTATCAAGCATAGCTCACGGGTCGGGAACCTGAGGCACGCCACCTAACCTTCATGGTCATCTTCTCCCATCCACTCTATCAGACCCAGGGAGCTGTACTCTTAAAGGCTGATTTACTTTTTCATTAACTGATGAGAACATAGGAGGCAATAATTGATCTTGGTCCCCCAGAGTGACCTCCAAGAGGGGTCTTATTCCACCAATGGAGTCACTGTCAAGGTAACCGTAGCCTCCTCTGGGGTGGTCAGAGCTATGTCCCTTTATTCCATGGCCCCATCTCCCCTGGGCTCCTAGTGACTCCCCAAACTAGAGCACCTTCCCTCTCCCTAACCTGGAGTCTGAATCACCTCAGAGATTTCCAGATGCCAATTCTGTCCAGCGCCAGCTGGGTACGCCGTGACCTGCACAGATGCACAGGACCCCACTCTCGGGAAAGCCTGTGCGTGGCTCCAACAGCAGTGGAACTTGTGGTCGCAGGTGGACATGCATTTTCTCAAGGGGAATACTTGTTCCACTGCTGCCCACTTGAAATTCTTAAGGATTTCTGGGCAGAAGACTCTACTTTTATCTTGCATCAGGCTCCAAAACTGTGAACCTGGCCCTGCCTCCCTCCCTAGAGCAAAGGTGGAGGTATCGAGAAACATACAATCAAAAGTAGCTTCTTCTTTCTTGGGACCAGAAGATGGCGTAACGGTCATGTCGCTGGGCTCCTGCATAGTCAACTGTGGTTCGAGTCCCAGACCAGTGGCTTAAAACTCATACTAGTTGCATGTGTGTGCGTGCCGAAAATCCTGAGAGGAGACTGGAGAAGGGACTGCTGCTTGGTCATCCCCCTTGGGGGTGATTTCTCACTTTCTGTCTGTCTCTCTGTGTCTCTGGTGAGGACATGCACCTGATAGCAAAAATCTCTCTCTTAAAAAAAGAAAAAAACTAACTCCTTCCTTGAGAGAAACTCTTGAAAGTTTGGTCAGCAGGTACATCACTGGGCAGTTCCACTGAGAGAGGGCCATACTCCTTGGGACTTGCAAGCTCCGCTGAGTTTGCCAAACAACACAGGTTGCCAAGTTGTGATGCACGTGGCCAGAAGTGGAACATCACTGGAGCGTGGCCAGGAGGCTGCTTGTTAGTTTCTTCCTTTCCCGCCGGTCTCTGCTTCAGGATGGGTTTGACCAGGGTGTCACTGAACCCTACTGCTCTGTTGATAGAGTTGGGGCTAGGGCAGTTCCTATTCTATGCCCCACCTTATCTACGCTTGGGTAAACAATGTTTCCCTCCTTGGAAGATGGGCCTTGTCGGGGAGGTTGGGACAACCTTGTCCTGAAGCCTCCTCTGAGGCCTGCTCATGTCTGTAGCATTCTCACCCAGGCTGTTGTGAGAACCCACACCACTCCTCATCACAGTCCTGGGAATGGCACCAGGCAGGCCTCCCCTCTGAGAGGTCTGAGAAAGGGATTTGAGCATCTGAAACAAAAATGAGAAACACAGTGTTTAGGCAGTTTCCAAGCAGAGGTGAGCACAAACGGATGAGAAATCTTGAGGGCAGAGCATTAAATCAAGTATGCGGCCCGTGAGACCACACAGGTCTCACGGCCCTTTCCAGGGGTGACGCCAGGCTCATGTCTATTAAAAAGAATGACGAGCCTCACTCTCCATTCCTCTGTGTTGCACATGTCCCAACAGCTGGACCACATGTAGCCAATCAGAGAGAGCCAAGGGCCCTGGTCTCCTCGCAGGGCTACACGTAGCCAATCAGAGGCAGAGCTGAAGGCTGCTCGGCCTACTCCGGGATGGGCAGAGGAGGCTGCCCCGGCTCCACATGAACTCTGCAAGGCTTGTGCGCACTGCCCAGGCCAGCAGCGAGCTGCAGAACCCCGAGTCCTCCAGTCTCCTGCTCTGAGCAGTGTTCTTATACTTCCTACGGAGAGGATGGCAGCTGCTGCCTCTGCACTGCTTCAGATCACAGCTAAATGGGCCCCTGTTTCCTCATTTTTCCTAACTTCTGATTTTTTTTTTTAATAAGATCAAGCTTTTACCTGTCAGTGTTGCTGTGTCCACTGTGACACGTGGCTGCCCCAGTCCACTTTACATTAGCAAAGAAGAGGTGAGCAACCTGGAGCTTCTGTGTGAAACTCCTTTTTCTTTTTGTTTGTTTATTTTTTCTATGAGGGAAGGTGACAAAGGGAGAGAGAGGGGCACCCCCAACAGGGCCTCCATGTCATGATGCTGTCCCCAGCCCCAGGCAGCCAGGATCACAGGCATGAGGGGCCAGCATCCCCCGGGAGGCTTTGGGATGCAAACACAGGACCTTCCCGTATGGCTTCGGCATTGCAGAGCATTGCATCCCTGCTGCGTCCTGCGGCTGGCCTGCCGTGGGCTCTTTGTCATGCTCACTTGTTATGTCTGTTTCATCTCCTAGACACTAAGCCCCCTGAAGCAGGTGGCATATCCTATTTGTAACTCCGGTGTTTGCTGACCCGGTATTTAACCTACTAATTCCCATCAATGAATGATCTACAGGCAGGAGTCTCGTCAGAGATGTCCCTGGCTGCTTCTCTTTCTGATAACCGAGATCAAAGCACCCGCTGCAAGCTCTCACAAGCGCTTCCTTCTCCATGTCCTCCGTGGGGAGGCCCCTCTCCATGTTCTGAAGTAACATGGGCGGATCAGAATGGCCTGTGCTGCGCATGCTGCTCTCTCATCTCACTTCGTCCACCTGACAGCCCTGCAGTGCCATTGATGTCATCCCCTCCCTAAGAGAAGGAAACTGAAGTCTGGCGAGGTCAGCCGAGAAGTCCCCAGCCAGAGGCAATAGAGCCCTAGAGCCCAGGATTTGAACCTTGACTCTAGAGCTGCTCTGCTTTTATTAAATCACCACTACCATTAACTGGCTCCTAAATGCATTTTCTGGAGAGGGATGATGAAACCAGGTGTGCCGTCCCAGACAGAGCCTTAAACTGAATTGCCCTTGTGGTCGAATGGATCCTGCTTTTCCTTTTAAGAAAACTCTGGTCCCCCAGCACTCCATGAGCTCCACTACCCACAGAGATCTGCAGCTGGACTGCTTGGGCCACTTCGCTCACCTCCACACTCAGTTATATGTGCTTTCATGCTGTTTGTGGGCCTGAGTTTTACCGCGCAGTGAAACCCCCCAGGTTTAATCTTCCTTGCCTGCTTATCCAGCAGAGAACTGTGGGTAGATGATAAAACAAACAGACAAATAGTCACCTTTATCTGTTATTATCTGGTCTTGGCCTTCCTGTCTTCACTAGTGAGAATTTAGAGGATGCATCATCATTCCCAGAAACTGCACATAACAGAACTCAAGAATGACTACATCGAAGCCAGTTTGTAATTCTCTTACCTCCTAAACTAACTCCCCTTTGCCAAGGTGTCTGTGCTGCATGGATATTAGCATAAATTAGACTATACAATTACTCGTAATTAAGGGAGGAAGTAGGTGCCATGCTGCAAAGATGAGCCCTATTTGCTGCAGTAAATCCATCTCGATGTCAGTGGGCTGGCCCAGGGAGATGGCGTGATGCGTAATTATCTTTCTTCTGACTTAATGGTAGTTTATGTTGCTATTTTTCATTATCATAATTTCTCAAGACATAGAAACAGATTTTTTTTTTCTTAATGCCAATTGCATTACTGCATACAAGACAGCTCATGTCTGAATGAAAACTTAAGCAGAATTAAATGCAAGATGATGCTGAAATTTGCATTTTAAAACCTGGGCACCACTGTCCCCACTCAGGAGCTAAGATGTTGGATTACAACCCTTTGAGGGTAATCGCAACACTTTGTTCTTGAGAAGCAAGTTTTGGCCAATGTGGCAACCACCTGTGCTGCGGGGTTGTACCCTGCTTTGCAGAACCTCCAATGGCATCGTTGTCTGCGGCCGTTTTTCCTACTTTTAATGTTCCTCCTTCACATGCTGATTTGTTTGACACGCTGAAAGCTTGACTTTTACAACCCTCATAAAACCCCATCTGCTCCAGCCCAAACTCTCCAGAAAGTGCTCAGACAGAAATGGCTCAGGTTGTATTTCAGTCTCTTGATGGAGATAAAGAAACACGCAGCAAGTGATTCTATTTTCATTGTTGTTGTTGCGTACGAGTCAAGGAAATAAAACAGCTTCTCTGGCCTTGCAAGGTATTAGAACCGACTGCAACAGGGCTGCCCAGGAATCTGCAGAGCGGAGAAACAAGGCGTGGGGGTAGGAGGTGCTGAGAGAGAGGTCCCCACGAGGTTAAACCAACAACGAGGAGAGGCAAGGCAGCAGCGAGGAGCGAGAAAGCCAGGACCATCACAGTGAGCCATGTCATCAGGAGTGAGGGACCAGAGAGAGGAAGGGGTGGCCCAGGCAGTGGTGGGAGGCAGCAGGGCTGGGGGATCGGGAGGTCCCTGAGCGCCACTTAGGCCTAGCTGGCTCTGGTCCGGGAACATCAGAGCCTCTGAGACCCCTCCCAACTCCCACGAAGATGCTGAGTTCCCAAATGGAGCCATGATCCCCACCTGCCTGGAAGGAACCTGGAAAATAGGCTGAGGCCCTGGACTCAGATGACCACAGAGTTTGCTGGGAATCACAGGAGAAAAATCATGGCCTAAGGGCGCTTTGCAGACTGAGACCCCATGGGTGTCTGAGCTGGTGAGTTAAGCCCAGACTAAAGCACAAGATCCTTAGCGCTTGCTCACAGTGACTACACACTCAGGTGCACATACAGCTTCACATGCATACATACATGCACACATAGGTGCACACATGTGTGCACACAGGTGCACACATGCATTGCCATGTAGTAGTTCTTACGTCTGTTTTACAAGCACTTATGGAACTCCACCTTGTGCCAGGCACCAAATTTCATCCCAGGGGACTATGGATAAGCAGTTCCGGCCCTCAACTCCTGGTCCCCTCGGATGACAATTAGGAAAAGAGATGTGGTCTTGGAGGAAAAATGTCAAGAGAAAGGTTTTTTCATCCCTATTTTTGCGGGAGCCTCTGTCTGCAATTCCTGGCGAAAGACTAAGAACTGCGTCTTCTGCACACAGGAGGAAGAATAAGCACAGAGCTGCATTGTAACAACCAAGCCCTCCTCTTCCCCCTTCTTGAAAGTTTCGACTCATTCCCTGCCCCCACTCTGGACGGCCTTTCCTGCAGCTTGTTTTAATCACTGTTTGAGTTAAAAGTCAATATTTAATTAACCAAGTAATTACATTCAGCTTATGTTTGAATCTGGGTATTTGCTCATCTGTGCATGTTGGGACCCCCGCCCACACCCCTCCATCTGTCCCCTGCCTCTTTCCCACAGCGCAGGGAGGAGGCTGTCCTGCAGCAGGCTTTCTGGGGCTGACAGGGAGCTGACGAGGTGGGTTTCCCTGGAGGTCACCCCTGGATTTGGTCCTCTCCCCGGATGTGTTCATATTATAGTTAATAGTGAAGGGGATTTCTTACTGCCGCGCCACCTCCCCTTATAGAGCCAGCAGAGGGCTCTGATTAAATTACAGCCTCTCATTTACAGAAAGGGGGTGGGGAGGGCAGACTGAAGACCTCTGTGCCAATAAGGGACATGGTCCCAGCTTTGCTTGTCCTGAGTCATGGAGACAAGAGCACCCCTCGGGGCAGCCTGTCCGGTGTGTGATTCAGTTTCTAACAGGCAGTTCGAAGGGCGATGGTGGCGGGCTGGGTGGATGGCACGCTGACATTTGCACATGAAGGATCTTCCTTCCCTGGCCAAGTTCATGGACATAAAGTCATGGTGTTGGCATACTGCCGTGACTAAGGGGTGACTGCTAAGGGGTAAGAGGCACGCACATGCACACACACACACACACACACACACACACACACACATTTTGTTTGAATTTAGGATTTCAGTACCTTTCCCCAAACCCTAACAACATACTAAATTTCCAAATGTATTGACTAATCCATGAGGTGACTGAAAGGCATGACCGGGAGGAGGACAGTGTAAGTGTGTATGTGTGTGTGTGTGTTGCGTACATACCTCTGTGTGTCTGTCTGCCCAGAACGTAGCTCACATTCTGCCATTCTCCCTAGGACGGTAAAATGTATGGCTGCAAACCAGCCCCAAGGATCCCCACGATGTCCAAAACCCACCTGCTGATTTGTCATTTGTAGAGCATTTTTGAGCACTATCTAAATACAATTTCACCAACGACCTTATGCTTGAAAGCCACAGGGACAGTCACTGTTGGGTGGTTCGTTAGCATCTTTGGTTTGTGCTGAGCATCTCAGAAGGCTTTTCAAAGGATAGAGAGGGGCCGCTGAGCAACTGAAGGTTGAAAATTCTCTGAGTGAATTATGGTAGGTCAGGGACCACATTAACTGCTACTGAGTCAGGCACTAAAAATTGACCCCCTTTTCTACTCTCTCTGCTAACCAACCCTTCTAGGACCTCAGGTACTCATGGCCGGTGCAAACGGGTCTTTATAAAAGAGGTTTCCAGAGAGAGAGGATACAGTTTCAGAGAAATAGATTTGGCAAGAAATTAGTAGTAAGTGTTTTGTTTGGGCTTCTTCAAACCTTTTTATTTGTTAGAGAGGCATGACATTAGTGGGACACAGATATTATGGCTTATTACCTGTTGATGATGACGTGTATAGTATTCTCAACTGGATGGATCTGAGAAGTATTTCATGATGGGTAAAGTCTTTTTTTTTTTTTTGGAGAGGTTTTTGCTATAGGGCTGCTCGCCAGACAGACAGAGAGAGACTCTCTGTAGACAGAAAGCGAGAAATCACCCCCCAGGGGGGATGGCCACACCGCAATCGCTTCTCCTCCATTCTCCTCTCGGGATCTTGGGCATGCACGCACATGCACCCGGCATGAGTTTAAGCCACTGGGTCTGGACATGAACCGTGGTCAACTCTATGGGAGTCCAGCAACATAGCCATTACACTAACTGCTGGTCCCATGGGTAAAGTCTTTTTACAAGCAAAATGAGAAATAGTGATTGACTGGTTAAAAAAGTAATTGGAATAATAATAATAATGAATGGGAAAGACAATGAAAAGATATTGAATAATGAAGTGGGGATTTTAATGTCTTGGTATTGACTGACATGCATGGCATTCCCTTTTAAAAAAGCAATGTAATACAGTGTAAAGTTATATGTAATCCAATGTAATATAAACAAGATTATGATGATAATAAATAAAAAATAAATTAAAAAATGATGCCATTCTACTGTTCAAATTGCCTATAGCTCAGTGACTTACTATTGGATTATCTAAAAAGTCACAAACGTATTTTTCTATGCAAAAATGTATCATGTTTTTCCTAACGACCCTATAAATCATGACTAGCCTTTTCACACTTCCTTAGATAAACCTCCCTTACACCTATTAAATTTGAACTACAACTTCTTTGTATATTTAAAATGTAACTGTAGTTTCTTTTGAATAAAAGGTAATGTTTCTCTGAAAAAAAAGGTTTGTGAAAAATGAAATTAAAAAACAAGTTTTAAAAAAACTTTTTGTCTGTAGTTTTCCATTTTGTACTTTTCTTTTTTATCAGGATGATGTTGACCTCATAAAATAAGCTGGAACTCGATCTTTCTTCTATTTTCAGGATGATATTTTATAGAATTGATATAAATCCATATTTTTTTAAATGTTAGATAACATTTTCCAGGAAACCATCTGAGTTTGGAGATGTCATTTTTAGGCACTTATAGGGCTATTGAGGTAATCTGTCTTGACTGAATTTAGTAGTTTGTGTTCTTCAAAGAATTGGTTTATTATAAATGTATGTAAATTTATGAGTGTAAATAGCATTCTCTCTCTCTCTTTTAGGTTTTTGTCATAGGGCACATGCACCCTCCAGAGAGACAGTGAGAAGGAAAGTGAGAACTCACCCCTCAGGGGGTGTACTCGAACTGTGCAGCTAGCCATGTGGGATCCAGTCCCTTAACCATCCCCAGGGGGGATGACCATGTGGCAATCCCTTCTTCTCTAGAGATCTTGGGTACACATGCACATGTGCCCAGTGTGATTTTCAAGCCACTGGGTCCAGGACTTGAACCATGGTCAGCCATGTGGGAGTCCAGCAACGTAACTGCTATACCATCTGTTGACCCTGGTCCTTTCTTTTTTCTAATGTTAAGTGTTTAGTATTCTAAATTTTTCTGTCAATTTGACTTTAGTTATGTCTTACAAATATTTTATAAGTTGTATTTTTTTTTTCATCCAGTTCTATGTATTCTTTTTTTTTTTACTGGAAGAATTTTTTTTTTTTTTTTTTTTGACTACAAGGGAATGTGTGCTTGCTGGAGAAAGAAAGAAGAAGAGGCCAAGAAAGAAAGTGAGAAAGTACTCTCCCTGGGGGATGGATGGCCACAGTGAAATTCCTTTTCCTCCATTCTCTTCTTGGGATTTTGGGCACACTCAGCATATTTTTCAAGCTGCTTGATCCAGGACTTGAACTGTGCAGTTCGCCATGTGGGGTCCAGTCACCTTAACCATCATGCAGACTCTCGTGCTGTTTATCTTCAAATTGCCTTTGAGACTTCCTCTTTTCCAGTATCTGATGCTCTTTTTGAGCATCATATCACATGGATGATACAGAATTATATGTTGAAATTCATATGTTTGAAGATTTTCCTGTTGTCTTCCTGTTATTGATTTCCAGTCTATTTCATGACGGTGAGAGGACATCCTCTTTATGGTTTCTTTTGAATTGGCTCAGGTATTTTTTTATGAACCAGGATATGATCTACCTTGGTGAGCATGCCATCTAAGCTTGGGAAGAATGGATGTTCTGTGGCTGAATGAAATAGTCTATAAATGTCAATTAGTCCAGTTGATTTATGGTGCCACTCAGCTTCACTTTATCCTCACCGATTTTCTGCCCGGTGGACCTATCTCCTAGATGTGTCAATTGCTGATAAAGAGTGTCAAATACTGATATGGTAGGTGTTAAGGTCTTTTAGCTCTCTCACTGTCTCATTTATTAGGTTGTTGGGAAAGTCATGACATGTATGTCTGTTTTTCTATGCAAGGATGCATCATGGCTTTCCAGACAACCCAGTATTCTGAAGCTCTGTTGTTTGGTGTTCGTACATGTAGGGTCATTCTATCTCTTTGGTGGACTGATCCCTTTATTGTGATATAATGCCCATCGTTGACCCTAGTAATTTTCTTTGTTCTGAAGTCTACATAATCTGGTATTAATATAACTGCTCCTGTCTTTATTAAATGAATGTTTGCATAATACAACTGCACCCATTCTTTTCCTTTCAGCCTCCCCATGTCATTATGTTTGGAGAGAATACAGCAAGTAATTGGCTTGTAGTTTTCAATTCACTCTGCCATGCCTTCATTTGTAATTGGTATATAGGATTCCTTTTCTGAAATGCAACCAGAGGTATTTTGGATTGGGGATTTTTGGATTTTGAAATACTTGCATACATACAAAGAGCTATTTTGGGGCTAGGACTCAGGTTTAAACACAAAATGAATTTATGTTTCTTATATACCTTCTGCGCGTAGTCTGAAGGGGTTTTATACAATGCCCTTGTATTGCAGTGTTTAGATCCATCACGTGATATCAGGTGGGGAATTTCCTACCTGTGGTATCATGACAATGCTCAAAAAGCTTCAGGTGTGGGAGCATTCTGGATTTCAGCTATTCCGTTTAAAGATGTGCATCCTATATTTATAATATTGACGCTGGAAGTAATGAGTGATCTAGTAGGGCCATTTTATTATTGATTTTCTGGGGTTTTCTTCCCCTCTATTTCTAGTTTCTGTTTCCTTTCTAGTCTTCCTGTGGGTTCTGGAATGCTTTATAGAATTCGATTCATTTATGATGCTTTAGAGTAGATTGTTCTGCGTAGCTTTCTCAGTGGTTGCTTAGGCGTTACGAGACGCGCCCATAGCTCATCACAGATACTCCAACCAGACTCTAACACTGAGAGCGAAGTGCTGAGGCCTCCCTGTTATTTAGGCTTTTCTCCTCTTCCTGCTTTGAAAATATGATTTTATTAAGTGTTGCTTCTCATCCATCCTCACTGCATCACGCGATGCTATTATTTTTACTTCAACTGTCATATCTGATTTAAGAAACTCAGGCAGTGAAAAATAGTTTATTATATTTACACCTATTTTTACTCACCAATATTCTCTGTTTTCTGGAGTTTCAAGAATTCTGCTGCTGTTAGATTATTGCCTAACACAGAGAACGGCAGGGCTGAAATCACAATTGCCCGTAACGGTAATAAAACAATGACAATAATAGTGCTTCTCATAGACCTGGCACCTTTGTAGGCATTTCCTATGCATTAGCGCATTTGATCAGGACAATAACCTGTGAGGCAGGTGCCACTGTTGTCCCGGTTACCCAGGTGAGCACCCTGAGGTGGAGAGCAATGACGTAGTCTTCCCAGGGCTAGGAGCCCAAGGACTGGAAACATGGGGGCTTAGGCGAGTTACTGGATCCCAGTGAGAGCTGCAGCTGCAGGTGAGGTGCCCATGAGGGTCCTAGGTACAGGAGCAGGGCACAGTCCGGGCTGCATCAGAGCCCAGCAAAGGGGTGGGGCACTGCTGACTCCTCCTCTGTTCCTGTTAGCACAGCCTGCTGCTGTCCCCGGGAGACCGTGCAACCCCACATGCCTGCCATCCTGGAGCCCGGACTGCAGGTGGTGGCCACTGTCCCTCCTGGAGAACAGGGGCAGACAGACTCCTTCAAGGTCAGAGTCACACAGCTGGACTCCAAGGCACGAGGCTTCCTCCCCACACCTTCTCCTCTGCTTTAAAATCCGTGAGACCAAAAGTCTATATCTGGACAGGACCTGAAGGTTCATTTCCTCGAGAAGCAGAAAAATAACCACAGAGAGCAAAGCCAGGGCGAGAAGAAGGACGTGATCTGGCCAGATTCCGGTCCCCACTGCCCTCGTCCCCCTGTCTTATGGATCAGGTGTCACAGTAGATTGCGACAGTCTCTTCCCCTATGGGATTTAGTCCTTTAACCACCTTAAAAAAAAATGTTTTGCTTATTTTGATTTAAGACTAAGAGGAATCAGTTTTATTGTGGGATCCATTGACAAGGGGCTTGCCCCACATGGCCCTTGGGTTGAATTTTTTTTTTTTTTTTTTGGAGAGGTTTTTGCTATAGGGCACATACGCTTGCCAGAAAAACAGAGAAGACAGAGATACACAGAAAGCAAGAAATAACACCCCAGGGGGGATGGCCATGTCGCAGTCCCTTCCCCCTTCTCCATTCGGGATCTTGGGTACACACTCACACACGCCAGGCGTGAGTTTAAGCCACCAGGTCTGGGACTCGAACCATGGTCAACTACATGGGAGTCCAGCAACATAGCTAACTGCTGGTCCCTGGGTTGAGTTTTTGTAATGGTCATGTGTTCTCATTTTATAGACAAGACACTGAGGCTCCTCTCTGGCTTGTTCACAGGTAAGCTGAGCTGAGAAGTGGTGGACTTGGGCCTGACCCAACCCTAAATATATGCAATTTCCAGACCCCAGTGTTCCTCTTAATCCCCCACTCCTAGAGCGCTGGAACTCCATCCACTCACCTCTGCTCCTGCTCCCCTCTGCACCCCCAATCTATCCTCCTCATCCCATGTACAGCAGTGTCGCCTCTCCCTGTCCCCCACCGCTCACCTCTGCATCCCACTGGCTCACCTCTGCACCCCACACTGCTGCTGCTCCTTTCCCTGGGATGATCTCCCTGTTGGACTGGGCAGGTTGTGGCATTGGTGTAGTGCATTCTTGGTTATCCACCAGGAACTTTCACTTGGTACATATTCATGGTGTGTGGAGGGGCGTGATATATGCTACACGGTACAATCACAATCACATGGAATTGGGTGTCGTGTACACGCAAACAGGGCTTAGAGGACACGTCAAAGTGTAAACTGCCTGTGATTTGGGGTGACTTTGTTCTTTACTTCTCGTGTTTTTCAGTTTCTTGTAATGCGTATTTTAACTTTTATTTTAAAAACCTATTAAAACAAATAACTGGACAGGCCATTCAGAGCCAGGCTAACTCTCCAACCTGGGCTTTGGACTGCCATCAATACTTCCAGCTGGGCCCAGGGGAGAAATTCTGTCCGCACAAGTGGCCTCAAAAGGCTTTTTTGCCAGTCTATTGACCGAGCAAATTGCAAATATTTTTCTTTTGACTCAGGCAGAGCTAAGTTTTGCCCTGCTAAAGCTTCAGCTGTTCAAAGAGACTCTCATTGTTCATGCCAGAGACACTATACGAGGCATTATCTGAGCGCTGGCACTGGCTCTGCCTCTGTGTAAACACCCACCTGCTTCTTTACCTTCGGATCTGTGAATAGAGCGTCAACGGGGAAAATGAAACAGTGAAACTAATTCCTGCATCCTGAAAGAAGCAGCAGATCCCTGAACCACCCCTCTTCCCCAGCTCCTGCTTTGTTTGGTCTCTGCAGCTGCTTTCTCTCTGCTGAACAGAAATTTGGTGTCCTATCCTAACACCCACAAGGCGGGTTTTAGAGGAACCGTGTTTGCATGTTCAAAGGCCCTGGGGTGGGACCAAGAAAGCAGCAGCTCAAATTTAGTGAGGCTGAGGAAAGGAGGCAGAGCACGAGACTGGAGAGAGAGAGAAGCAGGATCTTGGAGGCTCTTGTGGGTGGAGGTAGGAGTGCTAATCATTGATCACTTGCAGGGAAGGCCTTTAGCTTCCGCCCATCGAGGGTAGCAGAGTTTGGAATATCATTGCTGGCAGTCCCTATCAGGTCTTTTAGGTAAGACTTGGCAATCAAGCTTGAAATCAGCTCCTAGATTGGTGATAATCCAGTTGTCATCTGTAGCCTTTCTGAATACATTATTAAAAACAGGAGTCAGTCTTTTAGTTGCCAAGAATGGATGATTTGTATAAAACCAAGTCACTCCTCATATATCAGTATGTGTTAATGATCATGAATATAGATGATTTTCAGGCAGTTTTCACAAAGAATTTGCAGCCGAGAAGCAATCAGACCCCAAGGCTTGCCCTGACAACCTGGCACCTTAGAATGGTTCTGTTTAGAACAGCCAGCATGGGTGGGCATTTATTTCCACTGGGTGTGGATACTGTTAGGGTGAGTCTGAGTCTTGTTTCCCTTTTCTTATTAAAATAAACGTTGGCCATATTTTGCACAATTGGTTTTACCCAAAAGATGTCCAGAGACAAAGATGAACATTTGCTGAGACATGTCTGAAGTTTTAAGTATTGAACACAATGCAACTAAACTCACCCAGTCATCCTATAGCTGTGGTTTGAGCTCTCAATCCACTTTCTATTGTTATTTTTTGAGAGAGAGATTTTTGCTATAGGGCTTGTGCATCTGCCAGAAAGACAAAGAGACAGAAAGCAAGAAATCACCGCCTGGGGACAATGGCCATGCCATAATCCCTTCTCCTCCTTTCTCCACTCAGGATCTTGGGCACACATGCACACGTGCCCAGCATGAGTTTAAGCCACTGGGTCTGGGACTCGAACTGCAGGCAACTACATGGGAGTCCAACAACATAGCCATTACACTATCTGCTAGTCCCAGGTGAGCCTTGTTTCTATGCAGAATTTAGCAAAGAGGTCTTGACCTTAGATCCGTGGACGGGGCCATGCATGAGGAGCCTCATAGGCCATGATAAAGATGTGGATTTTATTCTAAGGACATAATCAGACTTTAAACAGAAGAAGGGCACAATCTGACCCAGGTTCCAATGAGATTGCCCCTCTGGCTTCACGTAGAGGACAGCCTGTCGAGACAAGGAGAGAAGTTGGGAGGACACTGAGGAATCCATAGTCATAACAGATGAGAGGCGGAGACGGAGCTTACTCAGAGCTGGAGCCATCGTGGTGGAGATGGTGAGAGAAGGGGCTGAAGTGTGCTGGGGGGAACTGAGGTTAAGCCAGGAAGACAAGAGGCCCGTAGAATTTTGATCTGAACCACCAAGTCTGAACTCTTCTCTTAGGATCAATAAAAACTGACAGTAAAAGCTGTAATTGAAATAAGCTAAATATAAGGAGACCAGCAGTTGGCATAATAATGGCTATGTCACTGGACTCCCATGTAGTCGACTGCAATTCGAGTCCCCGACCTGGTGGCTTAAACTAACACCGGGTACGTGTGCATGTCTGCCTAAGATCCCAAGAGGAGAATGGAGGAGAAGGGATTGTGACGTGGTCACTCCACCTTGGGGATGATTTCTGGCTTTCTGTCTCTCTCTCTCTGTCTTTCTGGTGAGCACATGCACCCTATAGCAAAAACCTCTCCAAAAAGACATTTTTTTAAAATAAAATATAATGCTTAGGTTATAATTTTTTCTGGGTAGATCTTGATGAAAACCAACAGAATATGCTGGTTTGAGAAAGGAAGTTACAGATGAAATGGGGACATAGAGGGAGACCAAAGCAGGGAAACCATGGGAGGTTGAACAGCTATGTACATATGAGTGCATATATTTGTATATGATAGATACATATATATGTAAATATATGCAAATAGTGTATATTATAAAGAGCCAAGATTTATACCCAGAGTCCATGTCCTTAATGACTGTGCTATTTAATCAGTCTCCATATTAAATTTGCTCCAGTTTAGCAATATTAACTGGCCACTTCCTAGACTCTTTGGCACCCAGGGCCTGGCCTCCTCATGGAGTAGCTAGTACAGCTTAGGAGTCCCCAAATCCATGCAGATATAGTTGCACCGTTTTTGCAATCACCCAGTGTCTTCTCTACTATTTTTAAA